TCTACAAAAAGTAAACATTAGCCAGGCATGGTGGCATGCTTCTGTAGTCCCAGCTACTAGGGAAGCTGAGAGGTGAGAGGATCACTTGAGCCCAAGAGTTTGAGGCTGCAGTAAGCCATGATCACCAGTTTTCATCTATCAGATTGGCACTTTTATCCTTTTTTGAAGGCCTTTTCAGTAGATTCCATCAAATAAAAAATACACATATCCATTGACCCAGCAAAAATTCCAGGAATGTATCCTACTTGCACACGTGTGCAAAGAACTATGGGTGAGGAGATTTTAATATCTGTTACAAGAAAAGATTACAGACAACTATCCACCATTAAGAAGCCAGTTAGGCTGGGTGTGGTGGTTCATGCCTATAATCCCAGCACTTTGGGAGGCTGGCAGGTGGATCACCTGAAGCCAGGAGTTCGAGACTAACCTGGTCAACGTGATGAAACCTTGTCTCTACTAAAAATACGAAAATTATCTGGGTGTGGTGGCAGGTGCCTGTAATCCCAGCTACTTGGGAGGCTAAGGCAGGAGAATCGTTGGAACCCTGCAGGTAGAGGTTGTAGTGAGCTGAGATTGTGCCATTGCACTCCAGCCTGGGCAACAAGATCAAAACTCCTCAAAAGAGAGAAAAAAAAGTCAGTTAAATAAACTATAGTAAGAGGCAAATGAGTATACCATTTGGATATTATCTATGCCTTGAATTCCTTTGTCTCCTTTTTTCACATAGCTAGCTCTCTCACTTACCATAACTTGCAGTTACTTCATTAGTTCACTTGTATTTTTGGTTCCCTCTCTCTTTAGAATGTGAGATCTGGCCAGGAGTGATGGCCCACACCTATAATCCCAGTGTTTTGGGAGGCCATGGAGGAAGAATTGTTTGAGGCCAGGAGTTCAAGACTAGCCTGGGCAACATAGCAAGACCCCATCTCTACAAAAAAATAAAAATAGAATGTAAGATGTGAAGGGGGCAGGGTCTGATTGTATTTTTTACTATCGTATTCCCAGCACTAGTGTTGTATTCGATATTCAATTTAAAATGACTGACTGTATCTCAAATACAAGTCATCCTTATTGGTGAAGCATTCTCATTAAAATTAATCAGCAAAAATATACCATTATTATTTAGCATTATTTGGAAAGCATAGCCAAAGCAATTAGACAAGAAAATGAAATAAGAAATTTAAATGTTGAAAGAGTTGAAAATATTAAATTTTATATGTCTATACACTTGGGGGCAAAATACAAATAAACAGAAAATTTAATGGGAGAATTATTCTGGGCTAACCCTTTGCTGTTGCTTTGGCCAAAGTGATTTTGCTATGTAGGCATTTTTAGGTGAACCTTTTAGCTAAAGATAATTTCAAACTTTTAAAAAATGGCATATATATATATATATATATATATATATATACCCTTTACCCAGATTTACCTATTTATGTTTTACCTCATTTAGCTATATTAATAACCATGTCTCTCTGTATACATACGTAATTCTGTTTTGAAACGTTTATAAGTGAATTGAAACCATTGCATCCCTGAATTGAAACCATTGCATCCCTCAACACCCAGATACTTATTAGTGTATATTTCCTAAGAACAGTGATTTTCTTTTCTATAGCCAGTTATCAAATCAGGACATTTAATATGAATGTAAGGCTACTATCTAATCTACAGTCCATTTTCAGAATCTGTCAGTATGTATTTAGTTGCCAAGTCTGTTTAGTCACCTGTAATGTGGAAACACTCCTCACTCTTGGTGTTTCTTCACCTTTAGATTGCTGAAGGGCATCAATCAGTTAGTTTGTAAAAATGACCCCCAATGTTGATTTATCTGATGTTTCCTCAATGATTAGATTGAGATTGTGAATTTTTGGTGAGAAAACCACAGAAATGGTATCGTGCCCTCCATATCAGGAGAGCACAATGTTGGTTTAACTCCGTATTTTGATGATAGAGTTGACCATTTGATTTAGATGGTGTCTGCCAGATTTCTCCTGTAGTGTTATTATTATTATTATTTGTAATTAACAAGTAATCTGCAGAGTGATACTTTGAGACTATTTAAGTATCTTATTTCTCATAAAATTTTCACTCCCTAAGTTAAGCATCCATTGATGGTTTTCTAATTCATCATTCTTTTATATTTATTATTTGTATTGTACTTTAAGAAAGAGATTTCCTCTTTCCTTCATTTATTTGTTTATATTTGAGTGCACTCATTGATTCTTTTGTTCAACTCATTTTATTCAATGAGTTATGACCATTATTATATTATAGGATTTTTGACCTAATTTTGGCTTCTTGTAGTGTGAATTTTGACCATATAGAATTTCTCTGCCTCCAGTCATTCTCTTCCTGAGTTTTCAGGCAAGACATCTTACATACCTTTGTTACCAATTCATTACACTCAAAAAGTTTCCCCCACAAAAAAAGCCTTACCAGACTAAAGTTTTCTTGATCAGTTCCTCTATGGGTTTGATCTATATCAACCACTTGTTTCCCTGTTACTATTTATGTAATATAGGTGACATTTTTGTGTTTGCATGTTTGTGTGTGTCCATGTGTGTTGTATTAATGCATATATTACATATTTAGGGGAGTTTGCTTCATGGTTCTAAAATAGATCATTTGATTTAGAGATTAGAAGTTTCTCTCTCTACCAACAGCAAATTTTTAAACAAAGTTAGCTGCCTCAGGTATCCAAAGTTTTGAGTTTGATTATCTTCAGATTTAACAACAACAAAAAACCTTACCCTTGGCAAAAGATGAGAGGTAAAAAGTGATCAGTCACCTTTTCTTCCTTCCCCAGATTTTTATCAGTATTGTTGCAGGAAAGAACAATCCATCAGAAGTAGGATCTCTATCAAAGTCTTAGGATATTGTGTCTAAGAGTTCAGCTATTCAACAAATATGTAGTAAGGGTCTGTTATGTGCCAGAATCTGGGTTAGGAAGTGGCCAATAGCAGGAACCAAGCAGACAGAGCCCTTGCCTTCCAAAAACTAGCATTCTAGTAGGACAAACAGCAAACAAATAAACATGGTAATATATCAGCTGGTGCTAAATGCTATGGAGAAAAAATAAAGCAAGATAAGGGAAATAGATTTTGGTGTAGTTTTTTATGTAGAGTGATTAAGAAAGAAAACTGGGATGGCAGATATTTGAAGAGACCTGGGGGCAGGAGGATAAGAGGGTTGAGAGAGCTTATAGGCAGAAAGGGCTGCAAATGCAAGGGCTGTGAAGTGGGAGAGTGCTTGGTGGACCTGAGGACTGAGCCTTGGGACATTGCTATGTTTAGATATCAAGGGGATGAAGAATCAGCAAAGCAGAAGTTCTTCATGAGGTAGGAGAATAGAGAGGTACTTGGATGCCAGGTGAAGAAGCTGTTTCCAGGAGGTGGTGGTAACTAAGTCAAATTTTGCTGATGGATGAAGAGAAAATACACTGAGTACAGATAACTCTTAGGAGGTTTTTGGTTTAAAGGGGAGCAGAAAAATGGGATGGGATCTGTAGACTAGTGTGGGACCAAGGGAGTGGTTTTTAAAGGTGGGGGTATTCATGTATGATAGTAGGCTGATGGGAATTGTCCAGTAGATGAGAAACAACTGTTGATGCAGAAGAGAGGGGAGAGTAGCAGGAGCAATATCTTGAGCACATGAGCAGGGTTGTAACAGAATGTGCAAAGGGAGAGACTGAGCTAGGACCGAACATCATCTACAGTGTCTAGAGGGAAGGCACAGTGTCACAATTAGGCACAATCAGACAGAGAAGCCAGTAAACCAAGTGGGCCAGCAGAATATCATCCTCCTTTTTCCCTTATCTTGCCGTGATTTTTCTTTCTTCTGGCATCTGTAAATTTCCATTTCTTCAACCTTCACTTAAAAATTTTTTTCCTGTGGTTTGGTGGGAAGGGGGTGTGCCAGTGTGTCTGTTCCTGGAAGAACAGAAATTGTGAAAAAGTTTGACAAGCTTTAATGTTATAGGGGAAAAAAATATATCCAGAGAGCTTTTGATATCATAGTTGAAACTATCTGAATATGCAGTACACTCTAAATGGTAACCATATTTGAATGTTTAGAGGAATTCTCTAGCCTTTTAGTTATTTAGGTCTCCTTATTTATAAAGTAAATTAAGGTAGAAGGACATATCTGGGTAAATAAGTGTAGATCTGTGGAGATGTTTTATATTTATCATTTTCTTGATTATAAAAGGAATATGGTCGGGCACAGTGGCTCACGCCTGTAATCCCAGCACTTTGGGAGGCCGAGGCGGGTGGATCATGAGGTCAGGAGATTGAGACTATCCTGGCTAACACGGTGAAACCCCATCTCTACTAAAAATAAAAAAAATTTAAAATTTTAAAAAAAATAGCTGGGCGTGGTGGCAGGCACCTGTAGTCCCAGCTACTCAGGAGACTGAGGCAGGAGAATGGTGTGAACCTGGGAGGCGGAGCTTGCAGTGAGCCAAGATCTCGCCACTGCACTCCAGCCTGGGCTATAGAGTGAGACTCCGTCTCAAAAATAAATAAAGCAATATGTGTGTGTTGTAAAATATTCACAGTTATAGACATGTATAAAGTGAAGTAAACTCTTTCCCACCCTGTTCCCAACCTTCCAGAGAGAACCACAATTAATAGTTTGTAATAATAGTTTCCATATTTGATCAGTGTTTGCTTCCAACTTAGCTGTTTGATTGATTTTGAACAGAAAACTAAAACTGCCTACTGGCAACATTAATTTCCATATCTAATCTAACTCATGAGTATTTTAAATTCAGGGGCTTTATAAGTGCGTGTTAATTTAAATTGCACAGATTCGAACAGCCTGTCTCAGGACAGGATATAAAACTGACCTTTGTTTCTGAATTAAATGTTTCTTTGATACTAAAATAATGAAATGCCAGTCTTAGCTTTTGACTTGTGGGTTTCATGGTCCCTGAACAATAAGCACAATGCAGTTTTAAAGACTGTTTGCTTATTTGATGCAATTTGGTACTTTTATAGGAGAACGAGGTACTAAGAGAAAAGCACGAAGCTGTGGATCATAGTTCCCAGCGCGAGGAAAATGAAGAAAGGGTGTCAGCCCAGAAGGAGAACTCACTTCAGCAGAATAATGAAGATGAAAACAAAGTAGCAGAGAAACCTGATTGGGAGGCAGAAAAGACCACTGAATCTAGAAATGAGGTACGCCTGTCAGAATATTCAAGCCTTGCCATTTTGGTTTTAATGTAGATTTTGTGGCATTGACAGTTTGTGTTAAGAATGAGCATGTAGGCCGGGCGCGGTGGCTCAACCCTGTAATCCCAGCACTTTGGGAGGCCTAGGCGGGTGGATCACGAGGTCAGGAGATCGAGACCATCCTGGCTAACATGGTGAAACCCCGTCTCTACTAAAAATACAAAAACAGCCCGGCGGTGGCGGCCGCCGGAGTTCCCAGCACTCCGAGGCTGAGCAGGAGAATGGCGTGAACCCGGGAGCGGAGCTTGCAGTGAGCGAGACGTCCCTGCACTCAGCCTGGTGACAACAGCGAGACTCGTCTCAAAAAAAAAAAAAAAAAAAAGAAATGACATGTAATTGCTCCACTGTTAACAAATATCATATATGAAAATACCTCTGTCTTTAAGTTATGGGAGTAGTAATTTGATTTATAAATGAATTAGCCCATACAGTTATTTCCTCTGGTTAAACTCAAGATTTTGTGTCTGTGTGCACACACCCCCTTCCAGGACCTTGCTAGCAGGTTTTGCTAGTTATGTTTGCCAAGGCAAGGGATGAAGAAATGGTGAACCTAGGAGTCCTCAACCAGCCACATGAACAGGCAGCCAGGCTGGCCTAGTCCAGGAGAGCAAGCCGAGGACCAACCCTACAGCCAAACACCCATGATGTCAGCTAAGGCTTGGACTCAAATCTTTGTTCAGTCTCCTGGCAGGCCTGGCCGAACCACTGGGCATCCATGGTCCAGTGGGACCACTTCCTTAACTCCTCATTGCCTAACCTTACTCTTTAGCTGTGAGAAGAGGTGTATAAATGAACTCCCAGAGCCAGGCTGAAGGGATGGATGCTTCCTGTGATCTGTGCTTCCTTCTTTCATTTGGGCTGTACTGTGGTTTCTCTTCAGCCCTGCTGAGGTCCTGCCCACAGCATAGCAAACAGGCACTCCAGAGATATTTAATAACCACGTGGCACTTCCACCTGGAAGGCATACCCTCACAGGTCTTGCCCTGATGGTTCTCTTAGCCATCACCTGCTTTAGCCTGTCCCCTTCCCAGAAGGTGGAGTTTAGGGCTGCGTATTATTAGGGCTTGTAATATTACATGGAACATTACTTATTTGGCATGAAATCAGAAAACAGGTTTGTTCTCTTTGCCTACCTGCCACTCCCTTGCCCCTCCAGCTTCCACCTAGAGCCCCTTGGTGAAATCTAGGGCAGGTTCCATAAATTCTAGATACTCATGAAAATCCCTTTGGCCATCCCAGTGCAGCAATTGATAAGAATAACCCAATGTGGCCATGTACAGTTGCTCATGCCTGTAATCCCAGCACTTTGGGAAGCCAAAGCAGGCAGATCACTTGAGCCCAAGAGTTGGAGATCAGCCTGGGCAACATGGAAAAACCACATCTCCACAAAAATTACAAAAATTAGTTGGTGTGGTGATGTCTTCCTATAGTTCTAGCTACCCAGGAGGCTGAGGTGGAAGGATCACCGGAGCCTGGGAGGTCAAGGCTGCAGTGAGCTGTGATCACACCAGTGCACTCCAACCTGGGCAACAGAGTGAGACCCTGTCTCAGAAAAAAAAAAGGTATAACCCAGTGTAATTTTTAAGAACGCTGAACCAAAAGTTAGCTGGGCGTGGTAGTGTGTGCCTGTGGTCCCAGCTGCTTGGCAGGCTGAGGTAGGAGGATCACTTGAGCCCAGGAGGTTGAGGCTGCACTGAGCCGTCATCATGCCACTACACTTCAGACAGGGTGACAGAGCAGGACCCTGTCTTAAAAAAGAAAAATCCAAAACAAAAAACACTGAGCTAAAATTCAGCATCTTCCCTCAGTTTTGTGTGGCCTGCCCTGCTGATTTCTCTGGGGTTGAGGGTGTGGGGTGCTAAGAACATAGGAAATTGTTTCTCTTGACCATTCCATACATTTAAATATTATACAACTCTTTGTCACGTGGGCACTTCTTCATGTATAGGTTCTTTGGAGACCCCTGGCCCCACACCTGGGAGTCTTCCTCTTGACAGAGGCAAATGCATCTCCACTGCAGCTGGTCCTTTAGGGCTGTTCCCTGAATGTTCTGTGGCATACATGCATCTCACCTCTACAGGTGGCCCTCTCAACCATTCGCTGGCCACCTAGCACCTTAGACCCTTTTTCAGTTCCCTAACTATGGCTCTTGCATGGTTTCTCACCCTTTATATTTCCCAGGCAAAAGTGGGACATAAGCTTCTGTGTCCCCAAAGTGCAGAGAACACACACCAAGTTCTAAATGGTCTCCTTGAGGCTCTTTTTGCCATTCTTCAGATGAAGGGGAGGGGTAGAGAGCACACCCCAAGGAACCCTCCCATTTTCACTCTGACCACTGCAGCTTCAACCCTTTTGTAACCCTCAATTGCAGCCTGGCATTTGGCAACTGTCTGTTCTTTTTTCCCAGCTGGTTTTCTCCCCAGCTCCTGACTTATCTAGGCTTTATATTTATATTTGGATGCGTTGTATGGTTTTACCACTCTCCCCACAGCGTACATACTGTATTGTCAAATCAATACCCATGGACTTTTACATTAAAATACGGACAGAACCATATGTATTTTGAAGGGGACATTTCTGACCACTTCCCTGAGTGTTCACAGTTCTCTTTGAGGGAAAAGATGTTTTCACTAGTCTTTCACTTACTTAACACTGAATTGTATATTGCCTTTCTCCGAGGTATGTCTTCATCTTTACTCCCTCACTGGGCTTCCCAGCAAAGCAAGAACTGTTTTCTCTACCTCTACCTGTAACAAATTAATTCACAGCTAGGCACAGAATAGGCACTGACTAAATATTAATGACAAGACAAATGAAGTAGAGAGCTTCCTTGGAGAGAATTAAAAATATAATTTGACATAGGACAAACATCAATTTGGACAAAACTTTTCAGAAACATACTAATCATTCAAAGCCAGGCATTTGTGCCTAGTTCTTATCAGGCTTGGTTCCTCATTGTGTATCTCCATGTTCCTAGCCTGAGCATTTACATCACATCTTTGTGTACTTACACTTTTTTTTTGGGTTGGGGGAGGACAGGATCTCACACTGTCACCCAGGCTAAAGTGCAGTGGCGCTATCATGGCTCACTGCAGCCTCAACCTCCCGAGCTCAGGCGATCTCCCACTTCAGCCTCCCAAGTAACTGGGGCTATAGGTGCACACCACCATGCCCAGCTAATTTTTTGTATTTTCAGTAGAGGTGGGGTTTCACCATGTTGCTCAGGCTGGTCTCAAACTCCTGGGCTCAAGCAGTCTGCCCACTTTGGCCTCCCAAAGTGCTGGGATCACAGGTGTGAACCACTGCACCCAGTCACATTTCTTATGGTAGTTCTGACAATATATTTCTGTTCTTTTATTGGGCTATTACTTAGAAGGTGCTTTTAAAGCTTGTTGAAATAAAAATGAGTTAGACCAGTGAATCACTGGCATTTCCATTCTTCCAGATGACAACTCTGGAAGAATATCTAGGAAATGGGGACTGGTACAATTCTGGCTATGCTTTAGGAATCAGAACCCCAGTGGGGGCCCCAAAGCTAGATATAAGATCTGAACTCACACTACCGTCACTATCAAGAATCCTCAGCCAAGAGAAGTACAGTCTGGAAAACGATACAAACACTGGTTCTTGAAGAGAAGAATGCAAAACTGCTCCCCGAAAAGCTCACCTTTTAAGAATTAAAAATGACATAAATAGCCATGAGTCAGCATATGTAAGAGTCAGGATTCCTAGTCCTCTGAAAAAGACTCTAAAATAGTGTTTAAATTGTTCATGAAGGAACAGAATCTATAAGGCAAGAACAGACTATCATGAAAAAAGAAAAAGATCTAGAAAAGAGCCCACATGAAATTCTAGATATTAAAAATAGTCATTTTCATTGAAAATTCAGTGGAAGTGGTGTGAACAGCTAAAGAAAAGGGTAAGTTGGAAGACAGATCTAAGAAAATTATCTAGAATGTACCACAAAGATGCAAAATATGAAAGCAAAATTGAGACAATGATAGAAGAGAAAAATCTACGTTACTTCTAATAGGAGTCCCAGAAGAGATATAAAATATGAAAGAGAAGCAATATTTAAAATGAGTTTATGGCAGAATATTTCCAGAAAAGTCCTCAGATTAAAGGAGTACATAGAGCTCGTAATAAAGACAAATTAAGTCCCAGACATATCAGATTGAAACAGAACATCAAGAACTAAGAAGAAAAATCTTTTAAATTACCTGAGATAGAAAAGGTTCATTATAAATAACACTGAGAGCAAACTTACCATTAGTAATAAATGCTGTAAGACAGAGTAGTGAGGGAAAACATTAAACCTTAAATTTACCTGTTAACTCATCATTTAAGCATGAAGGCAAAATAATTCCATGTAGGCCAGGCATGGTGGCTCATGCCTGTAATCCCCTCTTTGTGAGGCCAAGGCCATTGGATCACCTGTGGTCAGCAGTTCAAGACAAGCCTGGCCAACATGGCAAAAACCCATCTCTACTAAAAATATAAAAATTAGCCAGGTGCAGTGGCAAATGCCTGTAGTCCCAGCTATTCGGGAGGCTGAGACACAAGAATCACTTGAACCCAGGAGGTAGAGATTGCAGTGAAATAATAATTCCATGTAACAAAAACTGAGTTTACTGCTCAGGTTCTCTCTAAAAAGAATTCTGAAGAGTTCTTTCAACTAGAAAGAAGCTAAACCATGAAGGCCAGGAGTGAGATGAAGCATTGATAAGTTGGTTTAAAAAAAAAAAAAAAATTGGAGTACATGTAAATAAGTATTGACTGTAAAAATTACTTTTTGAGACAAGATCTCATTCTGTTAGGCTGGAGTGTGGCAGCGCTGTCACAACTCACTGCAGCCTCAGCCTCCTGGACTCGGGCAGTCCTCCTGCCTCAGCTTCACGGAGTAGCTGGGACCACAGGTGCACACCACCACACCCAGCTCATTTTATTTGTAGAGACAGTCTTGTTATGTTGCCCAAGCTGGTCTCCAACTCCTGGGCTCAAGCGATCTGCCTGCTTTGACCTCCCAGTTCTGGGATTACAAGCGTAAGCCACCACACCTGGCCAAAATTACGTAATTGTGTAACCAACTGGGAGGGCTGGCTGTGGAGGGGCAAAATAAGCTGAAACTAAGAACTAGCCAAAAATTATATGGAAGTTGTTTATGGAAGGTATAGAAATACTGATTCACTCTTTAAGTATGCATGTTGAAATATTGAGTACTATAAGAAAAGAAATAGGCTACCTGCAGTGGCTCCCATCTGTAATCCCAGCACTTTGGGAGGCCTAGGTGGGTGGATTACTTGAGGTCAGAAGTTCGAGACCAACCTGGCCAACATAGTGAAACCCTGTCTCTACTAAAAATACAAAAATTAGCCAGACATAGTGGTGCACGGCTATAATCCCAGCTACTCCAGAGGCTAAAGCAGGAGAATCCTTTGAACCTGGGAGGCAGAGGTTGTAATGAGCCGAGATTACACCACTGCACTCCATTCTGAGCGACAGAGTGAGACTCCGTCTCAAAAAATAATAAAAACTTACAACCGAGGAACATAATACGATAAAAACCCAGTGTGGAGATAAGACCTGGTGATCCTTTAAAGATAAAGCCTAAAGCCCCAACCAGTTCGGTCTTTTACGTGAAGGATGCACCTTTTGTGTTTCTCTACAGAGACATCTGAATGGGACAGATACTTCTTTCTCTCTGGAAGATTTATTCCAGTTGCTTTCATCGCAGCCTGAAAATTCACTGGAGGTAATTGGAACCTTGGCTTTTATCCTTGCAGGAACGTATCTGCACTGACTTTTTGGTGAATAAATACAACTCCTTTACTTGGTTGACACAGCAGTTTAAAGTAATGCTTATTTTTACAGAAGCACTTCAGCTTAGAATTAACCAAGTATGTATAGCATTCCTCTTTCCAAATCCCAAAGGTGTAATCAAATTTAGACTGGTCATGGAAAACAGTATGGAGGTTTCTCAAAAAACTAAAAATTGAACTGCCATGTGATCCCACTATCAGGTATTTATCCAAAGGAAAGGAAATCGGTGTATCAAAGGGACACCTGCACCCCCATGTTTATTGCAGCAACATTCATAATAGCTTTATCATTTTAGTGCTTAGAGGCATTTAAGCAACCTCTTTCCTCCAGACTACTACTTCACTGTAGTTTATTATCCCTGACCCGCCACAATGTGATTACCAACCTGCTAGGATGAGAGTTACATCTTATTGTAAAGTAGTAAATTACAAGTTGTAACATTAGACTTTTTAATACAAAAATGCAGTTAGCTTTTATACTAATCAATCTTAATTTCTAGGTTACTCAGAATTCCAAGTATTCTGCAGAATTCCAAGTATTCTGATTTGGACTCACATCATGTATTGTATTGACTGCACTTTAACCAGGAAGTTACTGCCAACAGCGTATCTCTATTAAATATAAAGGAACTGACAAGAGAGGAAACAAAAGTTGTGTTAGGTAATAGGACTGCTTCAGAAATAGGGCTATTCATGTTTAAAATGTTTTTCCTTCATTTTTCAGGGCATCTCATTGGGAGATATTCCTCTTCCAGGCAGTATCAGTGATGGCATGAATTCTTCAGCACATTATCATGTAAACTTCAGCCAGGCTATAAGTCAGGATGTGAATCTTCACGAGGCCATCTTGCTTTGTCCCAACAATACATTTAGAAGAAATCCAACAAGGACTTCACAGTCACAAGAACCATTTCTGCAGTTAAATTCTCATACCACCAATCCTGAGCAAACCCTTCCTGGAACTAACTCGACAGGATTTCTTTCACCAGTTGACAATCATATGCGGAATCTAACAAGCCAAGACCTACTGTATGACCTTGACGTAAATATATTTGATGAGATAAACTTAATGTCATTGGCCACAGAAGACGACTTTGATCCAATCGATGTTTCTCAGCTTTTTGATGAACCAGATTCTGATTCTGGCCTTTCATTAGATTCAAGTCACAATAGTACCTCTGTCACCAAGTCTAATTCCTCTCAGTGTGTGTGTGAAGGTGCTACAGGTTATTGTACTGACCATAAATCTAGTTCCCACCATGACTTAGAAGGTGCCGTAGGCGGCGACTACCCAGAACCTAGTAAGCTTTGTCACATGGATCATAGTGATTCTGGTTTCCATGGGGATCTTACATTTCAACACATATTTCATAACCACACTTACCACTTACAGCCAAGTGCACCAGAATCTACTTCTGAACCTTTTTCATGGCCTGGGAGGTCACAGAAGATAAGGAGTAGGTACCTCGAAGACACAGATAGAAACTTGAGCCGTGATGAACGGCGTGCTAAAGCTTTGCATATCCCTTTTTCTGTAGATGAAATTGTCGGCATGCCTGTTGATTCTTTCAATAGCATGTTAAGTAGGTACTATCTGACAGACCTACAAGTCTCACTTATCCGTGATATCAGACGAAGAGGGAAAAACAAAGTTGCTGCACAGAACTGTCGTAAACGCAAATTGGACATAATTTTGAATCTAGAAAATGATGTATGTAACTTGCAAGCGAAGAAGGAAACTCTTAAGACAGAGCGAACACAATGTAACAAAGCTATTAACATAATGAAACAGAAACTGCATGACCTTTATCATGATGTTTTTAGTAGATTAAGAGATGACGAAGGTAGGCCAGTCAATCCAAACCACTATGCACTTCAGTGTACTCATGATGGAAGTGTCTTGTTAGTACCCAAAGAACTGGGGGCCTCAGGCCACAAAAAGGAAACCCAAAAGGGAAAGAGAAAGTGAGAAGAAACTGAAGATGGACTCATTATGTGAAGTAGTAATGTTCGGAAACTGATTTGGATCAGAAACCATCGAAACTGCTTCAAGAATTATCTTTAAGTACTGCTACCTGAATAACTCAGTTAAGGCTCTGTTTTGAAGCTTATATGGACAAATGTTTAGGACTTCAAGATCACACTTGTGGGAAATCTGGGGGAGCCACAACTTTTCATGAAATGCATTGTATACAAAATTCAGTTATGTCCAAAGAATAGGTTAACATTTTGAAAACCCAGTAAGACTTTTTGGCAGCCATCCTTTTTAGTAAGTCAGTTACTTCAGAAAGAGCAAACACTGGGGATCAAATTATTTTAAGAGGTATTTCGGTTTTTTAAATGCAAAATAGCCTTATTTTCATTCAGTTAGCACTACAGTAAGCTTTTCAAACACTATTTTAATCTTTATATTTAACTTATAAATTTTGCTTTGTTGAAATTTTGTATTTGTATTAAAAATTAACTTTTCCCTTTTATACAGAAATCTCAAGCAAATTTCTTGTTTTCCTTCCAAAATATCCACATTCAGGAATATAGATGAACAACAAATAGGGCAGCATAGCAAATTGATCAGACTCAAGCCAAATTGAGGCCAACATAGTATGCCAAAGTAAGGCAAATCCACCCCCCTCCATCCCAATACTTAACACACTGAATACTATGTGATATAGAGTGCATTGAAGACCTGGAGTCACTGGTAGTTTAAGCCACAGGCCTTCCTCATGTAACCAGAGATAGAATGGGCTACTTGCATAAACAGAACTCCTTGTGCGTGTATTAAATCCATAAAATCTCTGGCAGTAGTAAAGCCAGCCTGAAGGGATGGCCTCACATCTTAGAATACTGAGATCTCACCAGAACACTGTAAGCCATATAAACAAACCAACAGTAGGGGAAGAGTAACAGTGAAACCATCTAAGATTGTTTAAAATAGGCAAAAGCTATTGGGGGGAAAAAACAGGTGAATGTGAAAATAAACCAGGGTAAGGTAAATTCTAGAAATAATGGCATTTGAAATGAAAACCTCACTAACAATAAACAGATTGAGTTTTCTGAAGACAGCAATGACCTCACCTAGATGACTGTCAAGTCCGGGGAACATCAACACATTATGTGTACTATAATGTGTACATAAAATTTTATGTCCAATTTTTCAAAATGAAGTTTCTCAGATGCTATTTCTGCTGTTACAGTGTAGAGTATCACAAATATCTTGGGCTAGAGAAACACAGTTTATATATACCGTTGGATTTTTGTAATAAAGGTTTTTTCCCCAAGACCTATTATTTTGCCAGAAATGCTTCTAGATAAAATTATTGCCCCATTCAATGACTCATGGTGTTCAATGATCATTTGTTTAGTCTGCTGACGAGCTGCTTTTTACAAGGGAGTATTTCAAATGTCTTAAGCTTTTGATAGTTATAATTTAAGGACACACGTAAAACATTTCAGTCCACAGTAGGAAATCCTACGGTACCAATTTACTTGTTTCAAAGTTGACTAAGTGCACTCGCACGAGTGCCTGCTTATCAGATAGCATTCTTCAAACCTCTAAAAGGAAAGGACAGCAGAGAGCAGAATTGGTAATCATGGTGAGTCTTTGGCACTGCTGAAGTGCAGTGGCCCCCAAAGATCCAGCCTCGAACTCAAATCCGTCTACCTCAGCCTCCCAAGCAGCTCAGATTATGCACCATGTCTGGCCTGAAGTTTAAGCTATAAAAAACCTTAAATACAGCACACAGATCAAGTAACTGCAAATGGAATATATTTAAAGATAGTAATGTCTGTACTGAACTTTGTCAATTATTCCCCATACAATGCAACATACTATTTACCAAGCTTCTATCTTGGATTAAATGAGAGTAACCTAGAGACAACTCAAGTGTATGAGACGTGCTTAGGTCATGTGCAAATACGTTTCATACAAGAGGACTACAGCATATTTTGGTAGTGTAGGTTCCTGAAACTGATGTCCCCTCTCCCATACCAAGGGACTTTTAATTGGTGCATTAAGCAGCCAGCTTTACAAGATCTAATTGGCTATGGGTTGGCTTCCTGACACAACCCCGTCTCCATCTTAACATGCTGGATTCAAGGCATATAAACGAACTGCTTTTCCGACAGTCCAGTTTTAAAGGTAGAAGGAATTCCACATTTGCTTTCCAGTGCAAACCAACTAGATTACAAAGTCAATGCCGAAAACCAAACCACCATTGCCTAGGACCCTCCACTTTACCTACCTAGTTGAGTAATCTTGATTACAGTATCTAACGTCTTAATCAGAATGAGGAAGATAGGGATAAAGACAACCCAAGTGGGTAGGATATCTTTTCCAATTAAAACTCACTTGAGCATCTTCCGAAGTGTGATCAGATTTTAGGCCAATTGTATGCAAAAGGCAGGCAGGCTTCAGTTGAGCAGAGCTACAGAACCAGTATACAGGGTTTTTGTGGTAATACTAACTTCCCTAAATTCACTCAAGTGGCTAGATCCTTCTTTCCCCATCTCAGTTTTCGAACTATTTGTTCTCTGGTAAATCCATGCAACTCACTGGTTACCCCAATTCCCCTCCCAAAACAAGCCAGTGTTAGTGCATTACTAAATAGTACAAATGTCAAAATTATGTAGGGCCTGTCAACCATCTCAGTACATTAGTTCCAAACCTTAAAGATAGCAAATTTAAATAACATGCACTCCAGGTGACCTGAGATAGGTGTTTTCTACCTTTTGCACTTTTCAACCATCAGTGACAAACTGAGACTTGTTGCCTTACATTGTTAGCTCCCAATACCTAACATTTATTAGGTCAAGCAATTTGGCATCTACCGAATTGGGCTACAAGGAAAACCTTACACAGGGAAATCCGGTTTTACACTCATGCATAAACTGAATAAGGGCACACCCTTGAGTGTGACAGCCAGCATCTTAGTTCCCAATGATCCTTGCCTGCTTGGTAATTTACCAGTGAATAGAACCCTCCCACCACATTCTGTGATCATAAAGGATGTAAGATGGCATGACTACTTTGTAGTGTGTTCATTTTACAGCTTTTCTTGCTCACTCACCGAGGGAAGATGACAACCAGCATTAACTTTTCAGCCCTGTTAGTATGCCACTCTGGATATATAAAAAAAAATTATCCAATCCTAGTTTTCTGTGATTGCAACTGTGAGCTTTACCCAGAATCAGTTAAGTTGCTCCCAACTGCTGACCCATAGATGCTGAAGTTTGTTTCTCTAACTGCTCTAAAAGTAAGTTACACAGCAACAACATAAAGCCCCGGACAAAAGGCAGCCTTTCTTCATTTTAGGGCACCGTCTCAAAGCTGCACAAGAACTACCTTAAACTTCAATTTCTCCAAGAAAAACAGATTCAACACTAGACACACAGGAAATAAGCCTATGTTGAATATCCAACATTACACCATGTTTCAGTAAACTCTTCTTCCATCAGTTCATTTCAGTCTATTGTGTAATTACCTAATTCTCCCCTATTTGTGTGATATTCCCTTGACCTTGGCTGGATAGGAGTTGGTATTTTGAGGTTATGCATATCAACCTGATGTATTTCAAAGTTCAACGTCTTTGTACATCCAAACATTTTTAAAACTTCAAAATTTTCCTGAAGTTGGGATATTTGTACAAGTCTGTGATGAATTCAGCTATTTAAAACAGAAAAGTGCTTTCTATGTGTTACCCACTGTTAATGTGACTTACCTGTTAGATCTCAAATTACCAAAACCAAAACAAATCATAGAAACAAATCAATTAACTTGGCCCTTATTTTTTGGTTTTCTTAATTCAGATAAATGTCCAAATAAACACATAAAAAGAAAAAAACACTGATATTCATTTACTCTGTGTGAAACACAAACTAATTGACATGTGACAATCTAGTACATATTTTAAGCCTCAGTGCTTTTGCAAAGCCAGTTAATCTAGACCACTCTGGCCGGTTCACCTTTAAAATCCATGATTTTCAAAATGCCACCAGCATTGCTGAACATACAAGGTAAAGCCAGAAACTTTAGGAGGAGTACTCAAACGCTGAATATACAGTGCATAATGAACAGCATTTTATTGGGGACAGTCAATAATGTCCACAATGCTCTTCTCATTTATCTGTTAATATTAAAAGAAAATATGCATAGCCCCAAACTGCTTTAAAAAATTTAGGGGATGGTGATCTTTTAGACAACCGAATGTTTATAGAACAAGATTCACACATTTTATGTGTAAACATTACACCAAGTATTTGGATACAAAAAATATTTATTTTATAAACTTTATATTTAAAATAGAATTGTAATCTGTCTACTCACAAAACCTAATTTAAAACATGATACATTTATCTCTCTAGCCAATTTGATGTTAGTTTTACAAACAATACTCATTTTTTAATTGTTTTATATCAAGAACCTGAACTAAATGTTTGTTTTATCAGAAAACATTTCCCTTTTATTTTAAAGAGTGCTTTTTAAATGAAGGCACCAACAAGAACTACTTTCAGATGGTACAGAATTTCTTATTTCTTGAAGACTCTGTGGTTGACCACTTCTTCATTAGTTACCTGCAGCAAGACACCTTCCTGCCAAAGGAAAAAAAAAGTATCTGAAGAAGTTTATCATGTTTGTCCAAAAGAACCTAAACAACTTCAGTGGTGGTCTTAGGATCAAAGAAGACTCACTGGTGCATATAGTAGAGTAAGCCCTGAGTATCACATTCCTGTAAAGGCAATAAAGCCGGGCAATCAAACTGATGGTATCTAAGGAATGAATTTCAACAGCCAAACTACAACTTTCTCTTCAGGTAAGACACTGAACTAAAATAACCACATTTAACCCACCTACTTGGTACTGGATACATACAGGCTTCATAATGTAGACAGACACTTCACTCAAGTATGAACTACTATCTGAAAATAGATTCAACCATTTTTGCCCTACCTTCAGTCTCTTCCTGATAAGCATGTACAGTTACAACCATAAATACAACAAATGTCTTTAATAAAAACCCCTAGTTCACTCAAAATGTTTGATCCAAGAAATGTGAATACACAAGGGTGTAACGATGGGAAATCTCATGATTTATTGAACTTGCAGCCTAACTTTTACCTACCATTTTACTACCAACACCACTGAAGGAACCAAGAAAAGCTTTATTAATGATCACTTGGCTTGCCTCAGCTGTTGAAATGAAGCACTTTACAGTCTTTGTGGCAGCAGAATATACTTGTCCATGGTTCATATCAATGCTAAAATTCCAGCAGGGAAAAAAATGATATGTTAAGCACCCAAATCTTCACACGGAGGGGGAGGGGGTAGGAAAAGAAGGAAAAAAAGGGAAAAACAACCAAAATAATTTAAGTAAATGACAGATTGGAAAACAGGGTTTATAAAAATTATTCTCTTGAGTTTATAAATTGTTAAACTCAATTTATAGCTATGTTAAACTACGTAAGAACCACTATACTGAAAGACCATTTAAGAGTATTAGTTTATCTTTTAGGGAGGAAAATTAAGAAAGGAAAAGTAAATAAGATCTTACCTAAAGAAGTTTAACTGAAGCTTAGAACTATTTTGCTCTACACCCTCAGCTTTCGTTGGCATCCTTAAAAACTACTGTAGTTAAAGTTTTGTAGAAACAGCACAGTTTTTTAAGACTGGCTGAACTTAGTAGCCGTCAAGAGTTCTCTTGTACTAGACCTGTGTCCCTGAAGAGTACCTCGCTGGGGTTATTTCCTTTCCTTGCATTGAAGAAGCAGCATCTAAAAGATCTAAAAAGGTGTTTCTCCTTGCAGAGATATCCCTTAAGTTATCTACATAATTTAATCCTGATGAATTGCAGACAACACACTTATATCTGACCAGCATTTATCTTATACAAATATAACAACAGCTTTGCAACGGACCTTAATTATACTACCCACTCCTTAACTTATTTAAAATAAAAAGTCTATAATTACACAATTTCCTTTAGAATTATTTTATTAAATCATAAATGTACAACAGCTTCTTAACTCTACACACGCACTTAAATTTTTTAAAGGAAAAACGTTATGTCTTATTACACCATGATCCTGGCTAATAGCTTTTCAAAACTTTGAGAAAAATCTTAAAAAAGGTTTCACATGTCACCTGAAACTTACAAATTTAACATTATCAAAGAAGGAATGCTTCTACACTCTTACAAAGACCACTAGAAAGAAACAACAATTAAAAAGCTAAGAAACTGTCTCAAAGGCATTTTTTTTTACAATCCTTCCTCCACAGTAAGGTAATGTTATTAAATAATCCAATCCATTCACAAAATGGCTCTCTGCATCTGCTCTGGTGTCTTCTGCCATATCACTGCATATTTATGCATGACTGAGATAAGAGTTTCCTTAACATTGTTATTTCGATAACCTGAAGCTGTTCTGTTACCTCTGGGCTCTCATCCTCTCCTATTTATACAGTGAAGCCTGTTTCAACAGAAGTAAAGAGTAAAAAAAAAATAGGTTATGAAATTATCCATCTAACCAGATTTTAAGGAAAGATAACATGATCCTAAAAAGCTTTTACTCCTGCAGCTATGTCTCCCAAGATAATAATAATTGTAAAACTCAAAAGCTACTTACCCATGGCAAATAGGAAGAAGCTCAGTATCGGCTCCTCCCACCATAACCCCCACTTCCTCCACTGCCTCCTGGACCATAGTTTCCTATAATTGTTGGAACAGCAAGAGAAAACAAACTTACTTTGATTTCCCATGATCACTATAACACTACAGCTGATTCTATTTTCTATCCATCCAGTCTTTAATAAAAACAAGCAGATCCTAACCCTTTGCAGCCAGTTAGCAGAATTACTTGGGAGATAAATTACTCAGGTTCACAGACATTTTTATTTCGTGGCTGATGCTATGCTATTCTTTTAAATAAAGGGTCCTCTCATCCTCATTTGGACTAAGGGATTTTTTTAAAGTACACCAAGAACAAGACACAGAAAATGTTTACTCCTGCTAAAAACCTCAAGAATAAGCTAAGCAATGGTTTGAATCATGGTTTAATAATTTAACTTCAAAGACCCTCATTCCAATTTACACCACTTGCAATGTGGGTTACAATTTTACTTAGCTGTTTACCAGCCCCCACCAGAAATTAAACTACTGAACTTCCCCACCTCCAACACCCCTAATCCCAATTTGATGTTGTAACTGCTTGCTGAGTACTTCTGTGGAGATTTATGCAAAATTTCTTTATTTTCACTAAGACCGTATATCCCACAACCCAAACTACTTAGTATGTTATTTTCCCTTTAAGTCACAAAAGGCTAATCCTTTAATCACAAAAATCTGAAAAATCTCAATTGTTATAAATTACCTCCACCATATGGTCCCCCCATGTTCCTGCTACCACCAAAGTTTCCACTCTTCATTGGACCATAGTTAGAAGGTTGCTGGTTATAATTTCCAAAATCATTGTAATTTCCACTTCCATAATTTCCTATAAAAAAATTGGAATACTAGTATAATGGACCTCAGAACAATACATTAAACCAAAAGAATATTAAACCAAAGATACATGCGAAGGATTTAGGACAAAGCTCCCACAAAAACAAAAGCAAACACTTTATCTAGTGACAAACATTGAAATAAAAGATCAAGTGTTACAAAGCCATTAATTCCAAATTCCCACATAAAGGTTGCAGGTGAATTTATTACCTCCTCCATAGTTGTCATAACCACCTCCGTAGCCCCCACCCTGGTTGCCATATCCAGGTCCTCCACCACCATATCCTCCTCTTCCTCCTCCATAACCGGGGCTACCTCCAAAATTGCCACCTATTATAAAATAAGCCTTTAAGTAATCACTTAATATTTTCAATGCCATTTTGAACTGTCTCCTCACATCCAAGTTTGCATGTGAAACAGTCAATGAAATTCCTCTAAAACAGCTTCAAGGACTGAATACCTACCCTTGGTAAACATGTGGTGGCTAGAGTGCCTACCCAGCCAAATGGATAACACCATGTGTACCCAACTTAAATACCTGTAACGCTACAGCTTTCCCTCAAAACTAAAAATCTTAAGTTATCTTGAAATACTACATATATATAGTGGGTAAGGTTGTGAGGCTAGACTAGCAGTGTGGGTTAGGGAGAAAGTAAAAGAGCACTTCCCCCTACAGGCCCAAAAGAAAGTTTCTATTATGTCTCCCTACGAATTACATCTTTTAAAACAATGTTCTCGGTCAGGCACGGTGGCTCCCGCCTGTAAACTTTGGGAGGCTGAGGTGGGTGGATCACAAGGTCAAGAGATAAGACCATCTGGCTAACACGGTGAAACCCCATCTCCACTAAAAACACAAAAAATTAGCCGGGTGTAGTGGCAGGCGCCTGTAGTCCTAACTACTCGGGAGGCTGAGTCAGGAGAATGGAGTGAACCAGGGAGGCAAAGGTTGCAGTGAGCTGTTATTGCGCCACTGCACTCCAGCCTGGGCAACAGAGAGAGACTCTCTGAAACAAAACAAAACAATGTTGTTGGCCAGGCCCAGCAGCTCACATCTGTAATCCCAGCAGTACGGGAAGTTGAGGCGAGTGGATTGCTTGAGCCCAGGAATTCAAGACCAGTGAGGGCAACATAACAAAACCCCTACACCTCTACAAAAAAAACACAAAATTAGCTGGTTAAGTGGTGCACCCTGTAGCTCCAGCTACCCAGGAGGCTAAGGTGGGAGGATGGCTTGAGGCTAAGGGTGCAGTGAGCTAAGATCACACCACTGCACTCCAGTCTGAGCAACAAAGCCAGACCCCATCTCAAAGAAAAAAAAATAGGCGCAACACTCTACACAGTATGTTCTTTACTGTAAACAGAAGTAGGGACAAATGAAACACTTTCACATAATGCAAAACTTAAACAAAACAAAAAATCCTGGCACAGTGGCTCACGCCTGTAATCCCAGCACTTTTGGGAGGCCAAGGTGTGCGGATCACGAGGTCAGGAGTTTAAGACCAGCCTGACCAACATGGGGAAACCCTGTCTCTACTAAATACCAAAATTAGGTGGGCGTGGTGGTGCACACCGGTAATCCCAGCTACTCAGGAGGCTGAGGCAGGAGAATCACTTGGACCGGGAAGGCAGAGGTTGTAGTGAGCAGACACACGCCACTACACTCCAGCCTGGGCAACAGAGCAAGGCTGTCTCAAAAAAACAAAAGCCACCTTATAAAAAGGAAAAAAAGAAAAAAAAAGGCTTCTGTTGTGGGGTGAGTCTCAAATTACTTGTAGTTAAATACAAGAACTCAGCTTTCTCTAAAATTTTAAATGGTAGAACTTAAGTCACACCTAATGAGTGGCAACACCAGAAATTAAGTCTATTACCAGCTCATAGTTTTAAATGTCCCTTCCTTATCACAAAATCTGTCTTGTGTACCAGCCTTTTCTGTACACCAACAAAACTGATATATTTATTATATCACATTTCAGGTTCAATGGTAGTTCACAACCTTATCTGTAGCCAGGAGCACAGTGAACATTTTGGAAACTTTCCTTAGGTTACTTTTTGAGTTATCCTGGGATGCTTACCATCTAGTTAAGGGTTTAGACATATTTTACATTTTTCTCCTACGTATTCTCCCCCCTTAGATTTTACTCAGTTAAATCCAGTCTTCTGCACTTTTCCAGAAAGCACAGTACAAAAACATATCTAGATCCAATTATTTTGCTTGAGATGGAATACTGTGATGATTATCTTTAAATTTTCATTTTAAATAGCACTGTATTCCTTAGGCTGTAACAACTAAGACGTCAAATTACTTATAAAAGAAATAACTGGACCACTATCACCTAAGCCCTTTATAAGGGGCAATATAAAATGTTTAAAAACTCAAAATATAAATGAACTAAATATACAATATGGTTAAGTATTAGTCACATAAACAAACCAAAATATAGAGGAAACTGACCTCCAGGCCCTCCTCCATACCCATTATAGCCATCCCCAAATCCACGTCCACTGCCATATCCATCTGTTAGGGGGCAAAAAAGATTACGTTTACTATAAGCTGTTCACCATTATTACTAATACTCATTTTTTCAGTTCTCTTAATACCTTAGCACAATAATTAAGAACCTCAGAAAAGCACACGCTAGTGCTACCAGTTTATTCACAAAACATGAAAGCATATAATTAAACCTCATTACCACCTAAATTTTGAACTCTTAACTGAGCAAGTCTCAATTTTAGAGATTCCATTTCATTTATACATAAGAATGACACTTCATGGGGCCAAAGCTTTTCTGATGACACTTCATTTTACATTATCAATCCAGATAATATAACTGTTATTAACACAACCCTATTAAACTTCTTGTCTGGCCAAGTCACAGGAACTTGCCAGGATACTATCTATTTGAAGTCTTAGGGAAAGGTTTTGATTTAGGATACTATCTATTTGAAGTCTTAGGGAAAGGTTTTGATTTAGGTTGATTTCCTGATTCTACTAATGAAAACCTAATCATACTTAAAATAAAAGCACACTCATCCTTTAAACACACAGAATTTGAACTTACCAGATCCTCCTCTGAAGTTACTTCCTGGTCCTGGTCCGAAATTTCCACCGCCACCACGCGAATCCCCGAAGCCGAAGTTGCCTACAATAAATGCCCCAGTTAGAAGCAAGCCCTTATATGAATAAAAATAAAGAAGAAATAGAATTGAAATTACCTCCTCTTCCACTCCTAGAACTCTGAACTTCTTGCATTTCTTGTCTAGACAAAGCCTTTCTTACTTCTGCATTATGACCATTGATGGTATGGTATTTCTGCAATACGATTTTATCCACAGGATCATGGTCATCAAAAGTAACAAAGCCAAAGCCTCTTTTCTTTCCAGACTGTCTATCAGTAATTATCTCAATGGTATCAATTTTTCCATATTCCTCAAAGTAATCTCTAAGGTGATGTTCCTCAGTATCTTCTTTAATTCCGCCAACAAACAGCTTCTTCACAGTTACATGAGCCCCTGGTTTTCCAGATTCCTAAAATATTGGTGGGGTAAAAGTCATCCCGACAGAAAAAAACACAAGCATGATTCAAAGTAGCCGACCTTTGTACCATACTTGGCTTGCATCCACCTTAAAACTACCAGATTTACAACAACAGCTTTTAGGGACCTAGCTTTTGGAAAATAAGTTAGCGTCAGAAAATGGTCCAGAAACCCAACAGAGCTTTAATAAAATCTTGAGTTAAAACTAAATTCAGAAATACTTTCCGATGTTCAGCAAGGCAGCATTCTTTATGTTAATTGCATAAGACAGTCATGGTTTGCTTACCTCTCTTGCTACAGCACGTTTTGGCTCAACTACTCTCCCATCAATTGAATGAGGTCTTGCAGCCATGGCAGCATCAACCTCAGCCATGGATGAGAAAGTTACAAAACCAAATCCTCTTGATCTTTTGCTTGCAGGATCCCTCATTACCTTTCAAACCAAAGAGGAAACTTTAGCATTTAATCTCATTATAACTTATAAGTAAACAGTCATTACAATAGAATTTTTTACTATGCTGATATAGTTACTTCCTCCAAGATTCACTTAAACAGCTACGATACTAACATACAGTAACAATTCAGTAACTTACGTACCACACAGTCTGTAAGCTTTCCCCATTGTTCGTAATAGTTCCTCAAACTTTCTTCTGTGGTTTCAAAGCTTAAGCCACCAATAAAGAGCTTACGGAACTGTTCCTTTTCTCTCTGCAAAGGAAAATACCATTTCAATTTTTATTTACATTTTCCTCTTTGTATGCAGGAAATTAAATTCTTAAATATGAGGTGACCTGCTGGCAGAGTACCTTTTTCCTCTCCAAAGGAACAGTTTCTAAAGTTTTCTGGGGGGGAAAAAAAAAACTTACATCAAATTTAAACCATATGTTAAACTGCATATTAGTTGTGTTACACCAAAAAAATTGCCTCAGCTGATCTACACAAGTTTCAAAGTCATTAATGCTTGATCTAAATTTACTCAACATTAAATTATCTTAAACAAATGTATTATTACTTAATTTAAAAAATTTCTAAGGAGAAATGAACAAATGTAGACCGTGGTTATCAAAAGATTACTAAATCTTTACCACAAATTTCAACCCTATAACCTAAAAACGCAGATTTCTATTTATAAACATCAGAAAATAACTTTTGGTTCGATGGTTATGACCCAAAGTTTTTATTTCACGATTCAATAACATTTTCCCTTAACTGCCCCCTCTGGTGGTGATTCTAAGTATATTAGCCAAAAAAAAACTTTTTAAAATACTGTTTCTCCCTATGACTCTGTGACAAAAATATTTAAAATCATGATATGCATTAGCAATAACCTTAAAAATTACTTAAAACCAGGACAAATTCATTTTTATGACCAGCAGCACTCAAAGTTTAAAAGTTTTAACAGGTTTTTGGTGGACATTGTCTATACAGGATATGACAATACAGAATATGAATTACTCAGCTTAACCTTATGTACAATAAAATACATTCACCTGGCATAATCTCTAAGCTAACTATTACTGAAAGCTGAAGCTTACTGAACTTGATTGGCCATGTGGCAAGCGACACGGCACGAAACAATTTTCTAACTCAATAAGAAAAACCTCAGAGTTGAAATCTTTAATACTTGCAAACAAGCAGTATGTCGTATTATACAGCCCTGTATTTTGGGCAGTTAAGAATGTTAAGTAAACCTGTCTTAAAAAGTAACTACGTTAAAAAAAAAAAAATTAAACGAGAGGAAGTGATATCCAGGACCAACTACTACGAATGCATAATGCACACTAAAAAGTCACACGTAATTTTGAATGAAGAATTATTTTTTGTTCCTAGCAAGAAGAATTGCTGCTCTCAGCCCAGTTCTACAGAGCTCTCTCCCTCCATTCACATGCTCCCAACTGCTAAAAAAATAGTGGTAAATGCCAGTTCGGATTTTTTCCTGTAATTGTTTTCAGGACTGGTAAAAAATTAAAAAAAAAAAAAAATTAACCGAAATGATCAAACTACTTCCTATGAGATACAACGCAGTCTTGAAATGGTTACTTGCCAAAATAGATATTTTCATTTTCTCAATTAGTTTTTTCTTAATTGTCGTCAGCACATAGCTGTCTCTAAACTGAAATTACCGATAATGTACATTTATAACAAGTCTTACAGATCACTAACAAAAAGCAAAAACTCATTACTTACCTCACAATTTTTCCAAACTTACCCGATGTCCACTATCGATTTTAAACAATGTTATTTTATAAACGTGCTTAGGGTCAAAGAAAATAACCAGGTAGACCCCCTTCGCTTGAGACCTTATGCTTATCAATGTAATGTTCAACCAAGATTGCAAACATAAATGAGAAAAGTAACAAAGTTCAAATACAGAGCGGCCCAGGCCCAAAACAATTTTGCACAAAAATACACACGCATTACAGGAAGGAGCCTCTGAAGCCATGTTTTAACCGAAGTACAACTAAGGATAAAATCGTTATTTCGCTTTCCTCGTAATTTCTAACTAATCATCTATAATGGTCCATGGAACTGTCCCGTAAGGATTAAACTTCTCAGTAAAAGCATTACTTAAAATACGAGTCGGCTCTACAACTTAAGCGGAATCCTTAAGAACAGTAAAGGCTTCTGACGCGAAAATCCCTCCCCCGCCCAGAAAACCATCCTCGTCCCTGCCCCTCGTGGCCGATGGCTTCCAAAGTGTTTATTTTTGCTGCTGTTCATCTGCCGTTTTAGTGACTGCAGACCCAAATATATCCGTTACTCAAATAAATTTAAAAAACAGGAAGACTACAAAACGGTTTCTTTGTCCTATAGCTCGCATTAAACCCGGCCCGACGCCCTGGGTGGTGGTATCTTCTCTGAAACCGGGCCCGCAAACCCGGAGCACCCCCCCCGCCCGCTCTTCGGTGTGGCTTCCGAACGCAATGGCGCCATTTCATCGAGGGGAAGGCTGAGCGCCTTTAATGAGGTGCGCAGGACTCTAAAGATCCAAGCTCACAAAACACTCCAAATCCACCTCGAAACGATATGAAAAGAGCCCGAGAAGAAAGAAAAATAGTTAACCACTTCTATGCCTTGACAGAGAAAGCACACTAAAAGAATAAGAGAGTTAAAAGAAAAACGCTGAGAGGAAGGCGAGCCATGAAAATGGCGGCCGCCAAATCCGGTTCCCGGGAGAGAGGGGGAGGGGAAGCTCCGCAGCCTCGCTCACGGGGACCCGCTGCCCGCCGAAACACTCGCCGCGGAGACGCCGTGGCCCCCGAAGCACCGTGCTTTAAAAAGGGAATAAAAATTCCCGCCTCCGCGCCCCACTTTCACTCCAGCGGGGCAGCGTCCGCCATGTGAAAGCTCCCCATCCCCCACCCCCAGTGAAGGGAAATGGCGCCGGGAGGCTGAGGGTGGGGAAGCTTGTTTGTACGCTCAGGCCTCCGGTCAAGACTCCGTTCATAAACCTCAAGCCCCACTGCTACTGAAGCGGTCCGATTTCCTGCCGCTCTCTCACGGAGGCGGCTGGCCGACTTCCACAAGGGGGCCAACGGCCTCGCCATGCCCTTTCCAATAACTCATTGATTTCAAACCCGTTACCTCCATCGCGGACTCAGTCGCTTCAGCCCGATTTCCCGCAGCCGAGCGAGATGAGAGAGATCTCCGCGGACGAACACGAACCGGACTCGTCCTGGCGCTGTAGTGAGAACTGCCGCTGCTCGAGAAACAACACCGCTAGGAGTACCTCCGCACGGGACCCGGCGCTGCTGCTACTGCCGCTAGAGCCGCTGCCGCCGCTTTTCTAGAACCTTCCCCCCCACTAACGCGTCTTCCTCTACGTCAGGCCGTTGCGTAAACGCCCTAACCGCCGCCAATGGCGGGAAGGCTCTACGCCCCTCCTTACGCCAAATGCGTACTCCTCCCCCTCCTGTGGCCAGCGACAGTGCCCGACGTTACTTCCGTAAATGCGCTCAGTGAATTGCGGAAGGCTCGAGTCCCGCGAGTTACTACCTCTCGGAATAGGGTCCCGCCCCTCGCCTTGGCGCAAGGCAGGTGAGAAACGGTCGCGCAGTTTGAAATTAACGCCGACGGGAGGAGCTTAATCCGGAGCCCGGAGATCCAGCCCTCTCAACCTGGAAGGTGGTCCCTGCAGCTACGCCTTTAATAACCCCCGCCAGAAAAATCGTAGTATAATATGAGCCTTCCCTTTTCGTTTTCCGTGTCCCAACTCGGCGGATTGACTCGGCCCCTTCCGGAAACACCCGAATCAACTTCTAGTCAAATTATCGTTCACGCCACACTGACCTAACCCTGACCCGCGTCTATGCAGCTGACCCCTGGGGTACAGGAGGGGTCTCTGCTGAAAGTGGTCCCAAAGGGGTACTAGTTTTTAAGCTCCCAACTCTCTCTCCCCAAGCGTTTGGAGGATTCCGCACCCTCGCACCGCAGGGGCGAGGAAGTGGGCGGAGTCCGGTTTTGGCGCCAGCGCTGAGGCTGCAAAGCAGAAAAGCCACCGCTGAGGAGACCCCGGTCACCGTCCTCGCCCCTCCTCCCCCCTCCCTCCCCTCGGGGACCACCAGGCGCCACGCTGCGAGCGGTAAGTGCCGCGGTCTTCGCAGCCGCCCTCCCCCTAGGGCCCCAATTCCCAGCGGGTGCGGCGCGCGGCCCCTCCCCCCCGCCGGGCGCGCGCCCGCTGCCCCGCCCTTCGTGGCCGCCCGGCGTGGGCGGTGCCACCCCTCCCCCCCGGCGGCCCCGCGCACAGCTCCCGGCTCCCTCCCCCCTCGGATGTGGCTCGAGCTGTAGGCGCGCAAGGCCGGAGACGCTGCAGACCCGCGACCCGGAGCAGCTCAGAGGCGGTGAAGTCGGTGGTTTTCCTTCTCTCTAGCCCTCGCTCGGTGGTGGTGCATCAGATGCTGCACGCGCCCCGGGGGCCCGGTTCTCCGCTCCCCTCCCTTCCTTGCCGGACACCGCGCCGGGAGCTGCGGGAAGGAGTGGAGAGGGTCGGGCGGTGGCCTCGCGGCTGACCTGGCTCGGGGCCGGCGCCGGCAGTTAGTGGGGGGACTGTTCGGTCCTCGAGGGGGTAGGGAGCTGTGGCGACCGTCGCCCTATTTCGAGACAAAGCGCATTTTCCCTCCCCTCCCCCACCAGCGTTCCGGCGGAGGCGCCCCCTCCCCCAGCCGCCACGCGGGGCTGGGTCGAGACTTGGGCCTCCGGGAGGGCGGCGCGTGGTCCCGCGTCCGCGAGGCCTGGCGGCGCGCGGCCGACTGTCCCGAGGTTGCGGCGGCCGTCCCGTTAACGTGGCCGCCGCGGGGGGTAGGCGCGTGCCGTGTGGCGCAGTGCCCTTGAGCCCCCGCGCCGCGGCCTTTGTTTCTCCCTGCGGATGCGCTGACCACGAGGCCCGCGCTCCCGGGTGGGGGCGGGCAGCTGCGCTTAGGCCTCGGGACGCAGAGCTCCAGCGGAGAGGGTCAGAGGGGGAGTGGGTGTCTGCAAAAGGTGATTGCGTCTTCAAAGTGTCACGAAACGGGGTTGAAGCATCGTTAAGTTTTTTCCTTTAGTTAGTTAACTGCTGATTGGAAAAAGAGAGGGTTTCTGAGCAGAAACAAACTTAGGATTGCAGAACAGAGAAGATTCACAGTGGTTTACAGTTGTGAGTTGTTTGGGTAATCGTGCATGGTTTTAAACCGAAAGGATTGTCCTTTAAAAATGGAACATGGACTTTATTACGAATGGGACTTAGATTAGAAAAGATATTTGTCCCCTATGTTAAGCCATGTGAAGCTGCCTTAGGTACCAAGATCCTCAGTAAAGTCTTTCTAGACTCACATGTTTAGAACACGTACTTAGTGCATCATAAGCAATGTAGGTAGGAGCGCAAATCTACTCTGGATTTGTATCAACGTTTGAAATGTGCGCTCCCTACTTGGGGGTTGGAATCCAAACAGAACTTGTATTTAGTTACCTTTTTTGTGTCGTGCAAACTTCTCTTAACTGTCATGCATTTTTCTAGTAATAGTTCTTCAAGTCTGCAATAAAAAATGGCCTCCAATAAAACTACATTGGTAAGTTAATGAAAAGCTAAAGTATGTAAGGATTTAACCCAAGGTTTTTTCCCCCAAAGTATAACTTTGCATCTTTGTGGTTGAGAAATTTACATCGACATATTTCCCAGCTCTCCCAGTATAATTATAGGGGAAAATTAGGAGCAAAACGAATTCATTACATGGAGATACTTGCTGACTTGACTTAATAGCGTCTTAACTAGTTTAATCTTTGAAGGACAGTGCAATGTGGATTTTGCTGAGGATTTTTATCTTCAGATAGAAATACCCACGTTTTTACAACGTGGAAAAATATTACATAAAATAATAAAGCCCTTGTTGGTTGGCATAATTTTCCTTAAATCCCCAGAATTCTGGAGAAGTATTTTCATTAAAGCCAAATTTAAAGAACCAGGTACCTTGTGCACCTAGGTTGGAGCAAGTTAGTGAATCTTTCAAATTGCTTTGGTCACTTTATCTTGTTTTAACTTACTCTGAAATATAGAAGAATCTTAAATATAATTCATTGCGGTGTTTTGTTTTTTTTTTTAAAAAAAAAGATCGAAATAGCAAATACGATCCAGAAGGGAGAAAAGGCTAGATTTTTTGTATCTTATTCAGCCATGTCATGTTACAAGTTTTTTAAAACCCTGGAATATTCACATAAAAATCATGAAATTCAAAGTTAACAGTTTTCACAATATTTAACTCTCAACATATTGCATTAATCTTAAGCGCGTAAAGGTGAATGTTAATGTCTCCTAGGTAAAGTAAAGCAGTTGTTTTTGGTCTGTATATGTTCTCTCTGGGTTTCACACTAGAAAGGGCACGTTGGTGATTTTTAATTTGTGCCATCATTAGATTCTATGTTAAGTCAGATACCCTGGAAAACAGAATTTGTTTTTGCATGCAATTGATACTCTTTGGGGTCTGTTATTTATTGGTATTTAAATAGTTTATTTTGTGAGGGATCACAGGTTGTCCACTTTAAAACTTTTTTTAACTTTTCATTTTAAAAATTCATTAGTGTTGTGAGATATATGTGCTGTTAATTTCACTTAAATAATGGGAAATTTATTTTGACTCAAATCCACATTTGGAAAAAAGTGCTGGGTTAAGCCAAACATATACTACAAAAGAAAATGGTGAGCATTTGAAACTAGCTTATGAATGCCATAGTAGTAAATACTGTATGGTATTTTGTCTGCCCCTTTTTTTTTTTCTTTTTTTTAACCTTAGTGTGTATCCTTTTCATTTTCTATATTTATTTTTTACTACTTCTTTATTTTGTTAGCCTTCTCCCTTTGTGGCAGTAGCTGTTTTGTTTTTCATGTAGTATAGGTATCTAATACACTTCTGTCTCTTCCAGTTTGTTTTTGCTTCTCCCACTATTATTTCTACCTTCTTGTACTGTACAGTGACAGAAATCTGTTTGGGCCCAGTACTCAAGTATCTTGACTAATGAGAATCATAAGACCTGACTTGGAAATGGTATCCGAAAAAGTCAGGTGTTTGCTGCATTTTTTTGTATTCCAGGGGATTTTTTGTGTGTGTGTGTGTGTGTGTGTGTGTGTGTTACCTATATGCTTGCTTGCATAGCTTGAAATGTCATTTTGCAGTCTTGAGGCCTTTCTTACATGTGTGTCTGCGCACTTCATATGCCTGCATAGCTTGAAATGTCCTTTTGTAGCCTTGAGGTGTTGCTGTTAACTTTTTTCTGCTTGCTGCTTTACTTGTGGGATGGCTTTAGTGACTGGGCAATTAAGGTTTATCTTTTTTTAATAGTATTTGGGTTTTTTGGTTTTGTGGGGGGGTTTTTTTGAGACAGTTTTTCTTTTGTCCAGGCTAGAGTGCAATGGCGTGATCTTGGCTCACCGCAACTTCGGCCTCCCAGGTTCAAGCGATTCTCCTGCCTCAGCCTCCCAAGTAGCTGGGATTACAGGCATGCATCACCACGCCTGGCTACTTTTTTATTTTTAGTAGAGACAGCGTTTCTCCATGTTGGTCAGGCTGGTCTCAAACTCCTGACATCAGGTGATCTGCCCACCTCAGCCTCCCAAAGTGCTGGGATTACAGGCATGAGCCACCACACCCGGCAGTAGCATTTGTTTTAAGATGAAATGTTAAGGTGGATTCCTTCTCTGCCCATAGGATCTTCTGATTAACCATTTCGGGGTTTTTCCCCCCCATTTTTAATCTCATAAAAATTTTCCCCATTTTTAATCCTCTCATAGCAAATCTTGAGCTATTGGAGAGAGCTGATTGAGGTTGGTCTCCTGCTTCTCTTAAATAGTGTCATACAAAAAAATGCCTGTTTAAAGTGAAGTTGGCTACCAATATAGACTTTGTCTTGAGAAACCAGGAAGGAAGGATTTTTTTCACCTTAGAGAATTAAAATCTCCCCTTTTGTCCTCTTGAAGTGACAGCTTTATAGGTTCTAAGTGGTAGGAAATATTATCTACAGAGATGGAAAAATAATCTTGTCCTTTAATTTAACCTCCTAGTGGTCTCCATAGTTGACCTTGCAGTTGGTATCAGGATTGTGAACCACGTGTTCATTCTGCACTTACCTTTTATCTGTATTATTGAAGCTTTTGACGTTAGTATTTGAATTGAGAAGGAGGCTGTTAGGTCTGTCGTTGACCTGTCACTACTATTTTCTTCTCTGTATCACCCTGTAAGTACTTCCTGCATAGTTGCTGTGTTGTTAAAATGAGTGAAAACTCTAGTAAACTTGGTCTTTTAAGACTACAGGGCTGGGCGCAGTGGCTTACGCCTGTAATCCCAGTACTTTGGGAGGCAGAATCACTTGAAAGGAGTTTGAGACCAGCCTGGTCAACATGGTGAAACCCCGTTTCTAATAAAAATACAAAAAAAATTAGCCCGGCATGGTGGCATGCGCCTGTAATCCCAGCTACTTGGGAGGCTGAGGCTTGAGAATTGCTTGAACCTAGGGAGGCAGAGGTTGCAGTGAGCCGAGATCACGCCATTGCACTCCAACCTGGGCAACAGAGTGAGAGACCCTGTCTCAAAAAAAAAAAAGACTGGAAAAAAAGTAATTTTTCCAGATAGTGTTTTTGATTGTATTATT